TATTTTAATTGCAGTTTAAATGATCATGGTAGCTTAGAAGTGTTTCTTTTCTTAGAGTATTTGCTGAGTAAGTCATCCTATTTAAATCAAAACTTTAGTTGTGTCAGTTTTTTATTTCTTTTTCTCTCAAAAAGTCTGGAAGACTTACTTGTAAAAGGTGTTCATAAAGGACTACCTTTCATTTTAGATATAGCAATAGAGCTCATCAAAAACTGCTGAGAGTTCCCAAATATCTGATCAGGGCTAGTTATTTTGTCCTGGTAGGACATGTCATCTTCTCTCTTTTCTTGTGCTCATAAGGAATGAACATGGTCATGAGTAACTGTTACTAAGTGATGCCTAGTCCTTGCATAGCTCCTCCCGCACAAGAAGGTTTTCTGGTCATTTTTCAGGAGAAGGAAGCACAGGAAGCTGCTTCCATGGACTGAACCCCACGGGGAGTCAGGCAGGGTGAGCTGTTCCCATAGTGCCTTGTCCTGAACCACAGACCCATGGCACAAACATAACCCAAAAGACAGTCCCTGACCCAAAGAGCCATCAGTCAACAAAATGGAACGCAGACTGTAGGTGGTAGAGAGCACTGCAAAGGGACAGTCAGGCAATATTAATCACTGTGATAGGCAGTAATGGGATTAGCTCATCAACTTACGTATTTGCTTAAAAAAACTGTGATATTGTGGAGAAGAGATGACTTTATGGATGTGTGCATGCTTTCCTATTCCTTTGGATGAAATTTGTTTTCTGAGGCTATTCCAGACACACTTCCCTTCCCAACCCCATTCCTGCCCTCAACTATATGGGCTCTGCTTGCTTTTATTCACTGGCAGAAAGTTCTAGAAATAATGCATTTAATTTTTACTAATATCCCTGTTAAATGTGTCACTCAGATTTATGAAGTCCTTTAAATCCTTGTGCTGGGACTGAATTTGAGTTTCCACCTTTCGCTGCTTACGGTGAAGAAGTGATGAGTCAGAACAGTTTAAGGAAAAGGACTGTGTCTCTGCAGCTTGAATCTTCCCACGTTACTGAAAGATCAGGGACTTGCACTATAGTGGTATTTAGAGAGTGCAGCCTGGATCAGGGTGGCCCCTGCATGAGAGGGTAAGAAGTGGCGCTGTACCTGAATAGCAGCAGTCTCAGTGAAGGGAGGTGTCTGAGGTCACTCCACAGATCAGTGGCAGAGCTCTTACTTGCAGCAAAAAAACCCAGACAATGTAAACATGATACTTTTATAGTAAATGCTGTAGTTCATCCTTGATTTCAAGCAGGGTAAGTACAGTCAGCTCAAACAGTTTGTAATCCTGTTGATTTTACAGAGTAAGAACTTACTTCCAGAATTAAGGGAAACTGAGGTGGTGCCCCAGAGAATTTATAATTTCACAACACACTGCATAAGTGCATTCAGTCACTGGGAAAGGGAGGGGTAAATAAGCCTGGAGTGAATTTTGTTTTCAAGGTCAGAGTTGCAGGAGAGTTAGCCATCTGTGCATTTGTTTAATAAAGCTGAGCAGAAATGTGGGTGTTTCAGCCTGTATAAGTTCTGTTTAGAGATTAGTCTGAGTCCTTGGGTTTCTTTAAACATTGCCCTGGTAATTTCTCTGTTGCTGGAACATTTGCATCTGGAACACACAGATGTGGCAGCTGGTTTGAGGACGTTCTCAAGGTCAGGCTTTGGCTGGGAGGGGGAATCCCAGGAAATCTGATGGCCTTCAGTTGTCAGTCACTGGTGGGTGGAAAATCCTACCTGCTTTCTTCATCTGGCTCCCAGCACGTTCTGGCTTTTTAATGCA